TAGTAGTCCACAGTATGTGTAAGGCATTTAAATGAGGTGTATGTGGGTGTCTTTTGTTAATCTGCTCTTCTAACGATCACAGCCCCCGGGTCCCAAGGGGCTCCTGTGCCCTAATGGAACAGCCTGGGGAGTCCCCAGGCGCCCTAGTTTAGCCTGGAGCAAGGGCCCCGGCCACGCCCCTGAACTACCCTGATTCAAGTCCACATTCAGCTCTCGCAGGGCAGCTCAGGGAGAGGGCCATGGAGCCAGAGGCCACTCCCTGCGGTCCCTTCACCCCATGAAAGTTCTCCCTTTCCAGAGCCCGGCTGGGCACTTTGGACCCATAGCTGCACTGTAGGGCTGGGCAGGAGGAAGAGCTCACCTCAGTGTCTTTGGCGTCAGGTTTATTGCTAGAGGTCAAAGAATGGCCTCACCCCAGATCCTCAAGCCTTTCTTCCGCGAGTCATCTTGTTGGCTTCTCAGAATCATCTACCCAGAGGGTTTAATTGTTTGCAGGCTGGGGACTTTATGTGGGTCATGGCAGCTTCAGGAGTTGGTTCTGCTCACACTTGAGAGTCTGACGTGTGCTGAGATGACAATAGGAGCAAAAATGTAGGAAGACTGCTCTCTGGTGGCAGTACTGGGGAACATTGCCGTGCTGGGGATCCCAGGAAAAAGACACCTTTTATTTATTTAATTTATTTATTTACATATTTTTAAAATATATTTTTATTGATTTCAAAGAGGAAGGTAGAGCCCTAACCGGTTTGGCTCAGTGGAGAGAGCGTCGGCCTGCGGACTGAAGGGTCCCAGGTTCGATTCCGGTCAAGGGCATGTACCTTGGTTGCAGGCACATCCCCAGTCGGGGGCGTGCAGGAGGCAGCTGACGGATGTTTCTCTCTCATTGATGTTTCTCTCTATCCCTCTCCCTTCCTCTCTGTAAAAAATCAATAAAAATATATTTTAAAAAAACAAACCAAGAAGAAGATAGATAGAGAGAGAGAGAGAGAAAAACATTAATGATGACAGAGAATCATTGATCAGCTACCTCTTGTACAACCGACACTGGGGATCGAGCCCACAACCCAGGCGTGTGCCCTGACTGGGAATTGAACCATGACTTTCTGGTTCATAAATCACTGAGCCAGACTGGCCGAGCTGGAATCAGATTCCTGTTTTGTGCTTGGAGAATTCGTGAAGTAATCCTGGCCCTCATCCTCCTGTACTAAAGAGGGTGATGCCCAAAAATACCTGGTCAACAAGACCTTGATGGACTTCGCAGCCCTTCTCCGTGTCGTGTAGCTTAGTGCCTGGGGGCTGTTGTGACTGCGTGGTGATGAACTTTTAAAAGACTTCAGTACTAAAGGTTCCGAACCCCATTCCAGCCTGTGTGGAGGAGGTTTTCCTACACCAACAAGCCATGCCCTGACACTAGCTACCCAGGGATGATGTCAGATTCCATGAGTTGAGGGCTTATTCTGACAAGACTGTCCCCCAACTTCAGATGACAATCCAGGCCCAGGTTGTCACCGATGCTTCTGACCGATCAGCTACAGATTGGAGTTTCAGTTAATTTGCTGGAGCAGCTCACAGACTCAGGAAACCCATTTGCTCACTAGATGACCAGTTTATTATAAAAGGAAATCACTCAGGAATAGCCAGTGGAAGAGGTGCGTAGGGCAAGGCATGGGGAAAGGGGCACAGAGCTTCTATGCTCTCTCTGAACTCTCTTCTCCGGGACCTCCAAGTGTTCACCAACCCGTGAGCTCTCTGAACTTGCGTTTTTTATGGAGACTTCATGACATAGTTTCCACGTAAGAAACATCCAAACCTATAAGAATTTTTTTGAGTTTATTTGAGCCAAACTGACAATTTCTGGGAAGCAAAATATCAGCGGTTGAGAAAATGCTCCGAGAATGACAATTTTGTACCTTATTTTTATACAGTACAATCAAAGGAGGAGGCATAAGGAGGGTTACATGAAATTTGCTGATGATAGATTAGGGAGGCGAGAGAAAGCAAAGCCGGGGAAAATGGATACAAACTAAAATGAAGAGACAAAGAAAGCAAAGATGGGGAGAGGAGGGGGGGATCTCTGACATTGGATACAAACTAAAATGAAGAGACAAATACTTCTTTTACATTAGAGGGTACAGGATCGTTAATAAGTAACTTTTACAGCACATAGAGATTGTATGCCGGAGAACAAGGTAACAATGAGGGGTTCTGTGGTCTGTGTTCTGGTGGGAGATTGTATCATGAGGGGTCTGGGAAAAGGCGATTAGTCTGACATTCCAAAGGTATGTTATCATAGATGCAAAAAAAGGCATAGGTTCAGGTAAGGCCAAGATTGACCTTTGTCAAGAAAGATACTGGCCTAGGACATGACTGCCCTCCATGAGTCACGTTTAGCTAGCAGGTTTATTTATTTATTTATTTATTATTATAATAATTATTATTATAGCAAAGGTGGAAATTTATTGAAGAACAAGTACAGACTCCCACGTGGGGTGGGGGAAGAGTCCCCTAGCTGGCAAGTTTTAATTGCAGACCATCCTATGTGGTTCCTGTAGGTCTCTGAGTTTGAAAGGCCCACCATGCAGGCCTCCCCTGAGCTTGTCAGGTTTAGTATGTGACCCCTTTTCGTCAGTGAGGAATAGAAAGAAATAAAATGAAGTCGCTATAGTTAAGTTGCTAAATTACTAAAATCAAGTAGGTTGAAGCACGAGGAAATGATTCTATCCTTGTTTTAACTAGCCTGGGAACTTAAAGTTTTGAAATTCCAGTTCTTCATCAATGCCTGGATACACACCCAACCTCCAAATAAGTCTCTGATTGCCCGGAAAAGACTAAGGATAGAATATTCCTGTATCCAGCCCACCTGGCATCCATTAGCCAGACCACTGCGCCATCTCAAGGATTACCATCTTGGACCAACGCAGAGGCTCAGAATATCAGACTGATTCTTCTCAAGAATGTACTTTAAAAAAAAAAACACACCAAAAAACACTGCAATCTTTAAAAAAATATATATATTTTTATTGATTTCAGAGAGGAAGGGAGAGCTAGAGAGAGCTAGAAACATCAATGATGAGAGAGAATCTTGGATTGGCTGCCTCCTGCATGCCCCCTACTGGGGATCAAGCCTGAAACCCAGGCATATGCTTGATGGGAAATGGCACCATGACCTCCTGGTTCCATTGGGTTCACACTCAACCACCGAGCCACCCAGAGAGGGCGAGTGGGCTGTTTTTGGGCAAGGTCACCTTCCTCTGGGGGCCCGGCATTGGCCTATCAGGCAAATTACCTCACTAGTGCTGACCAGGAAATTCCAGACTGACTGGTTAAGATTACATTCCTGGGAGAGGCTGAAACTGCAATTAGGTTAGTTATTGCTGAAACGGCAATTGGTTTGTTAATGTGCCTTTAGCACAAGGGACTCCATTTGGGGCCAGCGCGCTCTCTCTCTCTCTCTCTCTCTCTCTCTCTCTCTCTCTCTTTCCAGGTTATTAAAGTAGTTGGTTGGAAAGGCTAAACAGGCCCAAGTCTCTTGCAAGCCTTGCAGCCCAGTCTCTCAGAGTCTTGCCGAAGGTTTGGAGTCTGGTGGCTGTCTGATGTTCCACTTCAGGGCACTTGGTGGGAGCCTCATGTATCAGCCTCCAGCTGAGCCCCTCGCAGAACTGTTTGGTACTGCCTGCCCCCAAACTACAAGAACAGGTTGTAGTTTATTTGAGCTGATGATGGAGATTTTGCATCCCCTTCCTAATAAATATTTCGTGTTTGGCAGCATTTAGGAGAATGTTTGCTTTCATTATAACCTACCACCAGTTAGTACGATTGCGGGAAAGGGGACACAAACGAGCTGATGATCGCTGAACAGCCACACCGGCTTAGATCAGCTGTTACCGTCCTGTGTGCTCCTCTCTCCCCGTCCGTCCGTCCGTCCGTCCGTCCATCCATCCATCCAGGAATCACGGAGCCCTCCCTGTGCCTGCGTGGGGGTTTGCGCCCGGCTGCCTCTCACCGCAGGGAGATAGGACAGAGGCTGGAACTGCAGGGCCTGGAGCCCGAGGAGCTCCTGCGTCCTGGGGAGGGAGAGCCGGGGGACAGGGGGGGCGACCAGAGCGTGGACAGGAGCTTGGAGTTGGGATCGGGACCAGCGGGAGGAGGGAGCGGTCCTCCGCCTGGCGGATCGGCGCTTCAGAAAAGCCGAAACCGAGGTGGGGTGGCGGGAAACGCGCCCCAAAACCTGCTCGGGGGGGCCCGCCCGGGCGGTACACAACCCCGCCCGGGGTGGAAGCAGCCCCCAACCGGGGGTCCCGGGCCGCCCCGGGGGCACCCTTCAGGCTGGCGCTGGGACCCCCTCATTTTTTTCTCCCGGTTTCCGCCGTGCAGGGCGCTCCGACCAACTGCGGGGGGCCTGCCTCCTCCAGACGGCCGGGGGCGCTCGGGCCCGGCGGCGGGGCGGCCCGGCCGGCGCGGCGAGCGGCGCGGCGGATGGAGAGTCTGGCCGCGGCCGGCGGCGCCGCCTCCTCGTCGGGCCGGGCACGGCGGGGCCGGGGCCTTTGTGTGAGGCGGCGGCGGCGATGGTGCTGGGGCCCCGCGGAGCCGGGTAAGCGCGGCCGGGCCGAGGGTTGCCCTCGCCGGGGCCCGACCCCCGCCCTGGCCTTCCTCGCTCTCGGCGGGCGCCCTCCTGCACGCTCCCCTCGCCGGACCCACCTCCCCGGCGCCCGCCCCGCCGCCCGTCCCTGGCCTCCGGCGGCCCCGCGCCCCGCGCACCCCCGCCCCTCTGGAGTCGCCGGGGAATCGCGGCTCTTCGGGGAGGGAGGGACCGAGGTGCCGGCTGCCCCGCAAACGGAGTGCCCCGGCCCGATCCAATGCCCCTTCTCCCGGATTCGGCCTCCGGAGGGGAGACCGGCGCCCCGAATGGTGGAGGTGCCTCCTCGGAAGTTCTGAACCTGCCCCCGCCGACCCCCACTCGGGCTGCCCCGCGCCCCGACCCGCTGCCGGCCGAGTGTGGCCGCCAGGGCCTGGGAGATGCTTGGCTGGCACCCAGACAATGCCCGGAGCGCCCGGGAAAGTTGGGAGTTAGTGGAGTGTGCGGGTGGAGAAGGGGCTGCGCGCGGACAGGAGCCAGCAGACCCGGGGAAAGGTGTGTCGAGCAGGTCTTGGACCTGCACAGTGAGATGTTTTCTCATGGCAGCAAGTAAATCCCTTAGTTCTTGTCAACATGAGTAGGAAACCTGGAGAGGGTGGTGGAAAGGCATCCAGCATATTTAAGATGCCACAGTTGCGTTCTGCTTTGCTTGACTCCTTTGGGTTCTGAAGCATTTTAACTTCATCCACAGCTGACAAGGAATGTGGCAGATCAGTATCTGAATGGCTCTGGGTTATGGAGAGGAGCGAGCAGGCAGGTAGTACAGGTAGGGAGAGAGAGGAACTCAAGAGCGAGCAAGAGATGTACTTAGGGACTGAAAGGACACGCAATGTTAGAAAACCAAAAGGTGGAGGGAGCATCCTCAGCAGTGAAAGGAGCGTTGCTAACTGTTCAAATTTTATGTGCAGGACATTTGGCGTCGTAAGGGAAGAGAACATGCGTAATGAGGTAGGACAGCTTGTGTTTAGGAGGAAACTCATTGGAGCCAGCTGCTCTGGTCATGAAGTGTAAGAGTGTGTCTGAGCGGATACCTCCAGCTACAGCCTCTCTTACTGACTCTTAAAGACCAAGCTATCAGATTTGTTTCAGTGGTTTTGGCTTTTGTCGTAACAGCTCTGTACTTGGGTCTATGCAGGGAGAGGGGTGATCGTTCTGTCATGTTTGCTGTCCTTGCTCTCAGCAGAATGGAGCAGCTCCCCATGTCTGTTCACTCTGCTCCCCACCTGAGGCTTAGAAACACCCCGACTGGCAGTGGTTTCTCCTGCAGAGCACCCGCCTGCAGGGATGCGTTTGGCCACCCATCTTTTCCCTTTGCTGTCCACAGATTAACCGTGCTGATAAGGAGGCAACTTCACAGGAGCTGCTAAGATGGGCATGAGGATCAAACTACAAAGCACCAACCACCCCAACAACCTGCTGAAGGAACTCAACAAGTGCCGGCTCTCGGAGACCATGTGCGATGTCACCATCGTGGTGGGGAGCCGCTCCTTCCCGGCCCACAAAGCTGTGCTGGCCTGCGCAGCTGGCTACTTCCAGAACCTCTTCCTGAATACTGGGCTCGATGCCGCCAGGACCTATGTGGTGGACTTTATCACTCCCGCCAACTTCGAGAAGATTCTGAGCTTTGTCTACACATCTGAGCTCTTCACAGACCTGATCAACGTTGGGGTGATCTACGAGGTAGCTGAGCGTCTGGGTATGGAGGACCTCCTCCGGGCCTGCCACTCCACCTTCCCTGACCTGGAGAGCACTGCCGTGGCCAAGTCCCTGACCAGCACCAGTGAGAGCCACTCGGGCACCCTGAGCTGTAGCTCAGCAGAACCTGCCCATCCCCTTGGAGAACTCCGGGGTGGCGGGGAGCACTTCGGTCCTGATAGAAACTATGTTTTACCTAGTGATGCTGGAGGAAGCTATAAAGATGAAGAGAGAAATGTTACCGGTGACTCTAACCATAGCCTGCCCCTGCCACAGCAGCCATTGCCGCCAAAGACGGAAGACCATGATAATCCTGCTCCTTTCCCATCTGTACCTAATGTGGTGACCCAGCCAGCCCTCGGCACTGCCAGCATGGGCATCCAAACCAGCACAAGCTCCTGCCAGCCGTACAAGCTTCAGAGCAATGGAGACTTCAGTAAAAACAGCTTCTTCCCCCCGGACAGTGCGATAGACATCACCACTGGGACCAACTCCTGTCTGAGCAATAGCGACCACTCCAAGGACCCAGGCTTTGAGCAGATGGATGACCTCCAGCTGGAGGACCTGGGGGATGACGACTTGCAGTTTGAAGACCCCACCGAGGAGATCGGCACAGCTGAGGAGGTGATTGAGTTGAGCGATGACAGTGAGGATGAGCTGACTTTTGGAGACAATGACAACCGGGAGAATAAGGCCATGCCCTGCCAGGTGTGCAAGAAAGTTCTAGAGCCCAACATTCAACTGATCCGACAGCATGCTCGGGACCACGTGGACCTGCTGACAGGCAACTGCAAGGTATGCGAGACCCACTTCCAGGACCGAAACTCCCGGGTGACCCATGTCCTGTCTCACATCGGGATTTTCCTCTTCTCCTGCGACATGTGTGAAACTAAGTTCTTTACCCAGTGGCAGCTGACGCTCCACCGACGGGATGGGATATTTGAGAACAACATCATTGTCCACCCCAATGACCCCCTGCCGGGGAAGCTGGGCTTGTTTTCAGGGGCAGCCTCCGCAGAATTGAAATGCGCTGCCTGCGGGAAGGCACTGGCCAAAGATTTCCACGTGGTCCGGGGCCACATCCTAGACCATCTGACCTTGAAGGGCCAGGCCTGCAGCGTCTGTGACCAGCGCCACCTCAACCTCTGCAGCCTCATGTGGCACATGCTGTCCCATCTCGGCATTTCGGTCTTCTCCTGCTCTGTCTGTGCGAACAGCTTTGTGGACTGGCATCTCCTAGAGAAGCACATGGCTGTGCACCAAAGCCTGGAAGACACCCTCTTCCGCTGCCACTTGTGTAGCCAGAGCTTCAAGTCGGAGGCTGCCTATCGCTACCATGTCAGCCAGCACAAATGCAGCAGCGGCCTTGACCCCCGGCCTGGCTTTGGGCTGCAGCACCCAGCTCTCCCGAAGCGGAAGCTGCCAGCGGAGGAGTTCCTGAGTGAGGAGCTGGCTTTACAGGGCCAACCTGGGAACAGCAAGTATAGCTGCAAGGTCTGTGGCAAAAGATTTGCCCACACAAGTGAGTTCAACTACCACCGGCGGATCCACACGGGCGAGAAGCCGTACCAGTGCAAGGTGTGCCACAAGTTCTTCCGAGGCCGATCGACCATCAAGTGCCACCTGAAGACGCACTCGGGGGCCCTCATGTACCGCTGCACAGTCTGTGGCCACTACAGCTCCACCCTGAACCTCATGAGCAAGCACGTGGGTGTGCACAAAGGCAGCCTACCGCCCGACTTCACCATTGAGCAGACCTTCATGTACATTATCCATTCCAAAGAGGCGGAGAAGAGCCCGGACAGCTGACTGGGTCCCACCGGAGCCAAGGGGAGCTCCCAGGTGGCAGCCAGGACATTGACTTTCTAGTGGCTGTTCATCCCACCCTAGCCGAAGTTACAGTTTTGCCTTGCTGGGAATTCTGTTCTGTCTTGCGTTTAAAGAAGAAAAAAAGAATAGCACATGAGCTGTTACTGTTTTAGAGAAGCAGCGGCCCTATCATGTTTACCTCCTGACCTGTTCTCGCCCATGAAGGGCTGTGTTTTTTATTCTTTTGAGGCTGGTCTTGGGATCTCGTCAGGCAGTTGGTGTCAACTAGATCCCCTCCCCAGCCTCTCGAGTTTTATGCTGCTAAGAACCCAACCAACAGCCTCACTGAAGAGAGGAGGTGGAGAGAGTTGTCCCTGTGGGTATAATGCCAGACCTCCATCGGGGACAACCAGCTGTGAGAGAGTTTGGCGGTGTGGTCATTTAGAAAAGGCTAGTCAGCAGGGCAGCTCACCTCAGGTTCCCTTCCCGGCCCTCAGCAGGGAAAAGGCAACAGGGATAGAGGTGCCTGTTGTTCCACGCCTCTAATCTGCTGACTGGACAGTAAGCTCTTTTGGAAGCTAGATCCAAACTGGGGACTAAGCTTTCTATTTAGATCAGAAAGCTTTGGGATGAATCCTGGCCAGGGCCACCAGAAAAGGTCCTGCAGGGCCACCGGAAGTGGCAGCCTGGACGGACAGGAAGGGAGCTTTCTCTTTTCTCCTCATTTCCAAAGAAACATGATTTCATGGAGTGGTGGCCCAGGACGTCAGGCCTTCCCTGTGGGGCAAAGAGGAGAGGGAGCCGTTTGATACAGTCAGTCACGTGTCATCAGGCCACCTCCATCAGCCGTGAATTTTCTGTTGGAGAAGTGGGGTTGTCTCTGACAGCAGCAGCATTGCCTTAATTTATATCCTGTCTCTCGCCTAGAAGTGTGTTTGACCTGTAGTGTAGATGAGAAGACCCCGTGAGGTGGAGTGATGGACTGGAAGCCCTTCAGGATTAAAGGGACCGATGACTGGTGGTGTGTAGCGGGATGCCTCTCTGTCCCGGTTGGGTAACCTGTTTTGTGCAACTGGGCAGGAGCTCTGGCAGCTGACTTTTGACCTGCTGGAATTTATCCTGATCTGTCTTTGTGTTGCCGCCAGTGGGCGCTATTGGCTGACAGCTCAGTAAGGCCCTCCCTCGGTAGCTGGGAAACATTTCTGCCCAGCCCTGGGGGCTTTGTTGTTAGTTGGCTTTTGAGGGGGCCCTGCCCAAAGAAGGCTTGAATGAGAGGGCCCTTGATCTCACGTACTCATTGGCTCACCTCAGTACACACTACCTCACCTGCTCAGGCCAGCGCTGGGAGTCCCTGAGCTAGGCCCTGACACTGCTCCTGGTGGGACTCAGCAGCACCCCGGGCTGTTTCACAAGCAAGTGGTTTTGATGAACTCACAAAGCCTTTTTGGACGTTAATATTTATTTATTTTTATGTTTGTATGCATATTACCCAGCATCTCTTTTGGATAAGAGACTTCAGGAAAATGAGTTTCTCCCCAGCAAGGAGCCATGTCCAGGGGAGAATCCTGGCCAGAAGTTTGGGAAATAGGCTAGAACTGGGGGAGAACGTTTCAAGCCTTTAAACAGGGCAAATTCTTTTTGTTCTCCCCAGATAGGCTCTTACAGAATATACCCAGGGAACCCTTTAGGCAATGGATGTAAGTCCTAGAAAGTTGGGGCTTGTTAAATTCCTAGGCCTTTCCTCCTCCTCCTCCCATCCTGTAATGGAGTAGGTTGGGGACCGGGCTGAGGGGACCAAGTCACATGAAGGACCTTTTTGCACATTTTCTCATCCCTCCTAGACTCGGAAAGCTGTATTGAGACATAGAGGCAAACCAGAGCTCCATCTTTGGTGCACCTGCTGCCTCTCTCCCCAGCCCTAAACTTACACAGCCTCCGACTTGGAGTGCATGGCTCTCTGCTGGGTGACCACTACATGAAGGGACTTGTACACATGGCCACTTTTCACCATCTAACCCAACTTGTGAATCTTCCCTGGGGACATTCTTGTCAGGAAAGCAGTGCTGGGACTCTTCATCTCTGACTAGCTTCTCCTTTTCCCACACTGACCTATAGAAATTTAAGGAGGAATATGTGTAAAAGACTACCGTCGCGTGTTTGCTAAGCTTTTCAAGCCTGAGCGATCCCTCCCAGACTGTTGGTGAGGACTGGTTTCTGAATGGCCAGGTTTGAGGGAGCTGGTACTGGAACCCAGAGAGTATGCTGGGCAAACCCTTTTCCTTAACAGAGGGCGTCATGGATGCTGGGTAGTCTGTATACTTAACCTGAAACTGTGAAGTATTCCCTTTTTGCCAGTAAACCAAAAAGCAAATCCTTGAAACTTTGCCCCTGAAACACTAAACAAGAAACTGCACCCCCGGATCCTCCCGAGGCCACGTGGTTGGTCAGGGCAGCCCACTTGGTTGCAGTCAGACATGTAGCAGGGTCAGTAGCTCATGAGGCTCAATGACCAAACCCTGTTTCTCCACGTGTCCCCTGTGTTCACACCCAACCCCCCCTCTGTTCGGTCATGTTTGCCGCCCCTGCCTCTAGCTCACCCTTTTCTGAACTGTTTTACTTGAAACACTATAGTGTGGCAAAGGGCACTCTAGGATACCTAGTGGAAGGTATTGATTTTATTTTGAGTTTTTTATTTTTTCAATCTTTGATTTTGTCACGCCCTCTGCCCTGGAACTCAGTTTAGCACTGTCTCCTGCTGTATCGTTCTGAGGTGCAGTTTGACCCTCGAATGTCGTTTCTTCTCCCTTTTCCTCCTTTTTCTTGTTCTGTACTCCTGACTGGCTACATAATTGGCAAAGCCCTTTATTTAAAAATCACGTCTAAGAATTTCAAGATGGCAGTTGTGGAGCATGAAACCAAGCGTGAGGCTGTTCTCAGCCTGTTTCCTAGGGGAGGAGGGTAGCCCTTGGATGGCACACTGGGATAGAGGGCAGAGGCTGCTGTGGCCAGAGGAGGGGGTCAGTATCCCGCTCTCCTGTGACCCGCTGCCCCACTGGCAAGCTCCGCTGTACCCTCATATTGGGTCCTAAATTTTAAGACTCCATGGGGTATATAGTTCATGGCTCACTGGGAAGAAAGGGGGTGGGGGTGGGGCTCTGGCCCAGGTGACCCCTAAGGACCAGAAAATGGGTAAAGGTTCTTTTTGCCTTCTCTTCTGACCTGTCAGCTCCCTTTGTCTCCAGGACAAGCCTTTGGGCTTCAATACCTTCTCCCAGTGAGGTTTTGCTACTGATGATTTTTCTTCCTCTTCTGGCCTCCTGCTGTGCCGTTTTCCCAGACTACTCTATGTGGAAATGAATTTAAATCCCACTATAGATGGACACCGAGTTTATTGCCATGGGAGTAGGCTGTGTGGAGAAGTCTGTGCCCATATGGGAGTCTCTACACCTCCCTTTTCCTAACCCTGCACTGAATGAGTCAGGAAGTAGGGCACACAGCATTCATTTCAATGTGGTTATCATCATAAAGTTGACATCAGGATGACATCCAATTGTTTGGATTTCAGTATTTCTTTAACACCCTTCCTTTGTCCAGTCCACCCTCCCCTCCCTCTTCTACTAGCTAAAGTCTCTTACGAAATGGAGAACAGTTGATGTGTAACTTCTTCCATTAAATTAATAAGTACTGACCTCCTAATATTTAAGTGTTTACTATCTATTGCTGTAAAGTTTTGTATATTTTGTAAACTTTTTTCCCCAAATAGTAGATGTCTAAAATCGTTGTACATCTGATTCTTTTATATTCCATTGTTCGGCACAAAGTGTGGTTTTTATTTAGAATAAAAAAAAGGAAATTGGAAATGGGAGTTCTTTTCCTGTTTACTGTGATCATGCTCATCCCTGGAGCTGGGGAGATCTGGACAGCCACCCGCTGAGTCTCAGTATTCTGCTCAGCAGATTGAAGCAGCACCTTTTCCTTCCCTGTAGCTGGAATTCCCCAGGGTTAACTTGTTGACCTGTCTTTTGTTTGTTTTTCAAATCGATTTTTATTGATTTCAGAGAGGAAGGGAGAGGGAGAGAGAGAGAGAGATAGAAACATCAGTGATGAAAGAGAATCACGGATTGGCTGCCTCCTACACACCCCTTACCAGGCACTGAGCTCACACCCAGACAGGTGCCCTTGACCGGAATCGAATCCAGGATCCTTCAGCCCACAGGCCGGTGCTCTATCCACTTAGCCAGACTGGCTAGGGCTTGACCGATTTTTAGTGGGAAATTAAGTCAGTGACCCAACTTCTTCAGGGAGAACATCCCTGAGGGGATCCTCTGTTGGCCCAGAAAGTGAAGTGGAACTCAGCCAATGTCTACTTGGACTTGAAAATTGGCCATAAGTTGTCTTGCCAGTGCCATCTAATTCATGAGACGCGGTATGTTGGAGTGGAGAGAGGCAGGTCAAACAGAGGAGGCAGAGGTTTGGCATAATTTCCTGAGGTTGATAACAAATGCACCCCGACAGGGAAGGGTGTGATGTGGTCCATCGGGTCTCAGCACACTGCCTGGCCCTGGCCCCTGTCACTGCTCAGTAAATGCTGAGCTGAGCAGCCTTGCTGCAGTCAGCATAGCCTGTTCCCTCTCCTCCCAAGGTCCTGAGGAGATATGCTGCCAGGGAGATAACTGGTTGCCAGAGTGAAACCCGTGAGAAGAGCACAACCTCGGGGAAGTGGACTCGGGTCGCCTGGGACGTGACAGATAGAAAACTTCTGGAGCCCGAGTCCGGGGAGGCAGCAGTGATAGGGGCATCAGATGCTGGCGTGGCTTTTACGTGGGCATAAGGGAAGAAAGTGCTTTTACTGTGTTGTCTGCGCTGCTAGGCTAAGCCCTGACTGCAACCCCCGGTTACACCCTGGACTCCTGGGTGGAAAGCCTTCAGCTCTGTGCCACTGAGCAGTGGTTTGTAGCTTAAGAGCCTTTCAGATTGGGCCCAGTGAGCAGGGGGCTTATAGATACAGATTCCCCCCTGCTTCTGACACATAGGCACACACCATTGGACACATGTTGATGCATCTGCTGAACGCAGTTTCAGATTTCTGAAAGCAGAGGAGGCAGTGCGCCAGGTCAGTGACTTATTCCAAGTTAAACATTCCAGACACAGCACCGGGCAGGACAGAGGTCTCGGCGGTTGTGTCCCTGGGCCCTCCAGTCTCCACCGCAGGATTGAGAGACCAAGGACCTGGAACGAGTGGACTTGAACCTGCTCTTAGGCTTTGCTTCAGTCAGAGTTCATGGGCATGGTCCTAGTTTCCCAAACTGACAGCCTTTCCAGAAGACCTGCTTGTTACCAAGAGCGGCGGTCGCCAACCGGTGGTCTGTGGACCCCTGGTGGTCCGTGAGGTCCGAAAGGTTGGCGACTGCTGACCAAGAGGACTTCTTGTCCTATCTGTAGACAAGTGTTACTAGAAGTAAGTTGCTGGACAGATAAATCATGAAAAGACTAGGCGTGGGAGAAAGAAGTATAAGGATGGGAACTGACCGAAGAATACAGAACCCTGCCCTGTGACCGAATTGGGAAATTTCCGTTGCCTGTCCTGCGCAGGGACCAGAGGCTGAGGGACAGCGCATCTGTCAGTGCTTGCAGCTGGCTGTCCCAGGGTCTGCTCCCAGAATGGATGTCTCTTGTTATTTTCTACGGTCTGGGGAAAAAGGGAGGGACAGGGGTGGATTTTGGATAGCGTCTTGTTTAGATCCGAAATGTCCTAGTTCCAAAGCTGGGAGGAGGTGGGCTAGCTATGAGAGCTGTTACCCTGGGAAAGCTCCTCTGCTTGGGGAGGGGGGTGGGGGTGGGGCGCAGGATGGACAAGCGAGGGGAGAGTGTCAGCAAGGAAATGGAGAACTTCCTGGATGGTGGAAGGGGTGGAGGACCATCCTGCCAGCCCAGCTGCGGGGTGCCTGTGCAGACCTCGGCTTCACCCCGCCCGCCTCCCCACTCCCTCCACTATCACAGCACTGAGGATGCACTGCCCGGAAACGTCCCGCTGAGAACTTCTGGTTCCGTGGCCTCTGGCCTCTTGTCCCCACAGCCTGCGCGGTGCACGGTGCGTGGTGCGCTGGGAGATCAGCAAGCACACACATGCAAAGGAAAGTTTTGAGAGGTTCCTGCAGAGCTCACTCTTCCGGCCAGGGTGATTTCTGCAACGCGTGTCCTTTCTGCTGAGCGTTGGTGTAGCCTTAGCTCCTTCCCCACTCACAGCGGCAAGTGCAGACTTTTAGAGATCGAGTCATGGCTGTCTCTATTATTTATTTCACCCTTTTTCCTGTGCGTCTGTCTTAGACACAAGGACTGAGACAAATAGGACCACACCAAGGACCCATTCTTTATCCCTCTTCTACCCCTTCTCCCTCTCCCCACCTCAAGGTGTAAGATAGACTCGAAGTCGACCATGAGTGCTCTGACCCTTTTCCCTGCCCCCCCCCTCCCCCGCAAATCTCTCACCTCCACCTCCAGCTTTCTACTTCATGAGGGAGGAGAGTGAAACCCACCTCAGCTGGCTGTAAGAGACCCAGGAGCGGAGATGGGTGAGGGATTTGGTGCCTGGAAGTGCAGGCTGGGGTGGTGGGGGCCCGCTGCAGTGAGCTCGGTGCCCTCCTTGGTGATGATGATGGAATGCTGCGTGGAGGAGGAGGAAGACGAGGCACGTCTGCCCGCCCTGGGCTGGGCCTTGGGAAGGTAATGGACCACAGCACTCAGCAGCCGGTCCCGGAAGTTCGGGCTGAGGAAGTTGTAAAAGATGGGGTTGAGGACGCAGTGGAGCATGGAGAAGCAGTCGACGACATCATAGAAGAAGTAGAGCAGGTGGGTCAGGTAGCAGTGGAGGTAGATGTGGGTCCCGTGCAGTGAGAGCAGCAGCAGGCTCACGTGGTAGGGCAGCCAGCAGACGACAAAGACGGCTATGTAGGCGCACACCAGCAGGCAGTGGCGCCGGCTCTCAGGCCGTCCTGCCCGCTTAAGCCGCCAGGCCGTCAGCACATTGAAGACTGTGATGAGAGGGAAGGGCAGCAGGAAGCCCAGGATGGTGGTGGACAGGGTCACCGCCATGGCCCATGTGCTGTAGGTTTCAAAAGGTGGCAGGAAGAGGCACATGGGCTCGGGGCTCTCCATCAGCTGAATGTGGACCACCTCGGGCAGCGGAATGGTGGCCGCGAGCACCCAGACGCCCGCACACACCGCCCGCCGCACTCGGTGCTGGTGGCGCTGCCAGGAGGGAGAGGCGCTGGTGAGGGTGACGTAGCGGTCGATGCTGAGGCACACCAGGAAGAAGATGCTGCTGTACATGTTGGCAAAGTAGAAGTAGTGGGTGAAGCGGCAGGAGAAGCTGCCCCAGAGCCAGGTGTAGTCCAGCGTGACCTCCAGCATCCACACGGGCAGAGACAGGACGATGCCCAGGTCCGCGATGGCCATGTTGAGGACGTAGAGTCTCAGCAGCCCCGCCCGGCCCGAGCCGCGCCAGTTGACACAGATCACCAGGAGGTTCTCCACCAGCCCGACCACGAAGATGGCCAGGTAGAGGACGAAGAGGGCCACGCGCTTGGTGCTCTCGCTGAGCTCCACGTGGCACTCGGGCAGAGAGTGGTTGAAGAAGTAGAACAGGTCAGTCCAGTTGTGGATCTCTCCACGGTCACTGGCAGGCCCTGCAGTGACCCCGATGGGGGGCCCGGACTCCATGCCGGCCGTGACTGACATCAGGACCAGCAGGTGCCTGGTGGGGAGAAGAGCGTGCTGGAGGAGAAAGGAGACTTGGAGAACAGCTCTGTGTCCTGTCCCCCAGGCCGCCGGGCGCCGGGACCAGGAGGCTTTGAGGAAAGATCCTGGGTCTGAAGAGGCAAGAAAGGGAAGGTGAACATTCAAACTGAGTAAATAGCACACAACTTACTTCTCAGCTTTGACCCAAGAGCAGAGATATTTTGCTAAGGGGCCTCCGTGGTGGGAGAGACCAGATCTCTGCCCAGCCTGCCAGGCCCACCCTTCTCCAGCCTCAGGTGGGCTGGCTGGCTCCGACCTCCACTCACACCCTCCTCAGGAGGCTCTTGCTCTGTCTTGTCCTGTGGGCTTTGGATGCATCTCTCTCTCTCTCTCTCTCTCTCTCTCATCTGTGGATCCTGCAGGAAAGGCAGTTATCTCCAAGCCCAATTCCCTTATCCCCTGAGAGAGGGCAGCACTCACCTGAGTTTCCTGGGGGACACCTCCGGTCCTGGAGGCAGAGGGTCTGGACTGTCGGGGAGCTGCGAGGAGGCTGGAGGGACGGTGGCCTTGCAGCTGGCTTTGCTTTGGGCTTCAGGCTGCCCTTCTTGTCCGGAAGCAGCATCACTGGCCGAGGCTCTGTGGGAAAGGACCGGGGTTTTTCCTGCCTTCCCCCAATCCAGTGAGAGGGGAAGTCGCAGCAGAAGACCCACTGTGCCAGGGGTGGGGAGGAGTCAGGCTGCAGCATTAACATCCAGATCCTCACTCACTAACGGTGGGGATTTACCTCTTTTAGAAAAACAAATAAGATTCCTTTATTTATTTAGTTAGTTTTGTAAATCCTCACCCGAGGATATTTTCCCACTTATTTTTAGAGATAGCGGAAGGGAGGGAGAGAGACAGAGAGTTGATAGAGACACATTGATTAGTTGCCTCCTGCACTTACGGGACCAGGGCTGGGGCTCAAGCTTGCAACTGAGGTACGAGCCCTTGATGGGAATTGAACCCAGGACCCTTCAGGCCACAGGTTGACACTCTATCCACTGAGCCAAATGGGCAAGAGTATGTGTGTGAGACTAAATGAGCCACCAAGGTGAAGTGCTTAGTGCAGGGCTGGGTCTGTGTTTAATGCTTTACGTATGCATGTGTTTTCCACTCTAAGTCAGCTTGGAATTCCTCTCTCCCATGTCTGTCTTCATTCCTACTAAAGCAGAACTGGACAGGGTGGGAGGGCTCAAAAATATGTGAAAATCAGTCAGACTCTTAATCGCTCTGGTCCTCCCCCCATTAACTCCCCCTCCCCCCTTGCCATTCTCCCCAGCCTTCCTTTGGAGACCTGAGTTGAGAATCTGGAGAGAGAGGAAAGACTGGATCTGGGGTGGGGAGGGGCAGCACTGAGCTTCAGGGAGACTCCTGGATGGAGAGGAGGAGAACAGCTTCTTTTCCGCACGGCTCCATATTTCTCATGAAGTATGTGTGTGGTAGAGGAGAGACAGAGAGAGAGGGGAGAGAGAGAGAGAGAGAGAGAGAGAGAGAGAGAGAGAGAGAGAGATATTGGAAGTCACTCAGCTTTTCTCTCCCTCCAGCCATAGGGTAAGGCTCGCAGCGTGGATTGTGTTGTGGAACCTCGTGTGTGGCAGAGCTTCTGCTTCTCAGCGCACTGTCACCTCACTTAATCATTTGATCCCTGTGGGGAGGTACCCCTGGGGGAGGAAGGATGGGCTTCCTTATCCCCTGTGAGGCCCAGAGAGGTTGCCTGTCTTACACAAGCCATACTAGCAGATGGCAGAGCCAGCTGGAGCTGGGCCTTGTGTTGTAGGATGTAGTGTGTTGGCTGGAGGGGATTAGAGATATCAGGGGTCCTCAAACTACGGCCCGCGGGCCACATGCAAATACAAATATTGTATTTGTTCCCGTTTTGTTTTTTTACTTCAAAATAAGATATGTGCAGTGTGCATAGGAATTTGTTCATAGTTTTTTTTTAAACTATAGTCCGGCCCTCCAACGGTCTGAGGGACAGTGAACTGGCCCCCTGTTTAAAAAGTTTGAGGACCCCTGAGATATATATTTAATTGAGGTGAAATTCCCATAACAATACCAACCATTTTAGAGTGTACAATTCGGTGGATGTAGTACACTCATTTTGTTGTGCAACCACCACTTCTATCTAGTCCCAAAACATTTCCATCACCCCAAAAGGAACCCCATACCCATTAAGCGCCTAGTTCCCGCCAGCCAGCATTCTGCTTTCTGCCTCTGTGGATTTTGCCTATGGATATTCAATATAAATGGAATCATACAATGGGTGACTTGTGTCTGGTTTTTTCACTTAGCATAATGGTTTTGAGGTTTCTCCACATTGCAGCATATATCAAGTCTTCATTCCTTTTTATGGCTGAGTAATAGCCCATTGCATGAATATAACACATTTTCTTTATCCATTCAGGGAGGGGATTTTTTTGAAGTTTGCTAATTACTTTTTTATTAATTTTATTAAACACTAGTGGCCCGGTGCATGAATTCATGCACATTGAAAGGAAGTTAATTAGAAGAAATATTTTAATATCACTATTGGTCCTTTCTCTATAATAGAAGTGTCAACCAAATTCACGATCAACTATGACAGATCGAGACACATGGGTGCTAATGGCACCAGCGAGAGCTTTATATCTATACTAATAAAAGGGTAATATGCTAATTAGACTGGGAGACCTTCCAGGAGACCTTCCGGACTTTCTTCAGGACAAAGCCATGGTGGTGGGGCAGAGGTAGAGGCGGTTAGAGGCCAAGAGGGGAGGGCAGTTGTGGGTGATCAGGTTGGTGGGGGGCGGGGCCGTTGGGGGTAAGCAGACCAGCAGGGGGGCCAGCTGGGGGCAAGCAGGCTGTCACTGGGGGTCAATTGGAGGTTGATCAGGACAGCGGGGTGGGGGGGCAGTTTGGAGGCCAGTGGGGAGGGATGTTGGGGGCGAGCAGGCCAGTGGGGAGGGAAGGTGGGGGTGAGCAGGCCAGCAGAGGGGGCAGTTGGGGGTGAGCAGGCTGGCAGGGGAGGCAGTTGGGGGCGAGCACACTGGCATGGGGGGCAGTTGGGGGTGAGCAGGCTGCCGGGGGGGGGCATTTGGGGGCAAGCAGGCTGGCAAGCAGAGTGGTTAGGGGCAATCAGGCAGGTGAGTGGTTAGGAGCCAGCAGTCTCGGATTGAGAGAGGGATGTCCGACTGCCGGTTTAGGCCCGATCCCTGTAAACTGGCAGTAGGACATCCTTTGAGGGGTCCCAGATTGGAGAGGGTGCAGGCCGGGCTGAGGAACACCCCCTCCCCCATGCACGAATTTTGTGCACCAGGCCATTAGTGTATAGATAAGCTTGCTTAATTAGACCTGCTTTCTGATTTAGCTAAACTTTTTCCAGCCCAGTGAAGCACCCCAACTTCTCTTTCAGGTAACTGTCAGCAACACAGCAGTAAATATCAACACAAAGCAGATTATTATTGTAGATCACGCAGGGAGAACAAAGAGTAAAATATTTAACTGCAGCAGTATTTGACTATATCCTGCACAGTGAGAAAACCTGAAGTCATTTTCAGGGTTCACCATTTCTTCTTTTCAGTGTGGTCAAGTTTCTAAGCTTTCTAAATTTCCGTTTTCCAGCTAATGAAAAGAAAATAGGATTCCACCAAGTCTCCTATCTACCTCCTCCAGGACTTCTGTGAGGATCAGATGAGATGAGGCATGGGAAAACGCTTCACAGACATTTGGTTAAAGTGTAAATGTTTCCACCTGGGTATAAAGCAAGTTGTGTTCTTAGGTGGAAGAAACTGCAAGGAGGCTAGTTGCTAGGGAGAGGAAGCTGGGCATTGCTATATAACGTCATTACCTGGATGGACACTTAGCATATTAGCCTTTTATATATACACTGAGTGGCCAGATTATTATGACCACCCCATCAGTATTGAAGGCAAGAGGTGGCCCAACAAAGTACTAATGCGGTGGTCATAATAATCTGGCCGGTCATAATAACCTGGCCACTTAGTGTATAGATAACAACAGATTTGCCATTTTAACTATTTTAAGTATATAGTTCAGTAGTATTAATTACATTCACATTTTAAAGAAATTATCTTTATTGATTTAAGAGGGAGGAAGAGGGAGAGAGAGATAGAAACATCAATGATGAGAGAGAATCATTGATCGACTGCCTCCTGCACGCCCCACACTGAGGATTGAGCTTGCAACCCAGCCATGTGCCCTGACCAGGAATCCAACTGTGACCTCCTGGTTCATAGGTCAACTCTCAACCACTGAGCCACACTAGCTGGGCGCAGACACATTGTTGTGTAACCATCACCACCAACCATTTCTGTGGGAAGGCATATTTTTAATTTTGCAGTTTTCTTTCCCTCTCACTCTCTCTTTTATTTTATTTTTCTCTCTCTTTTTAAAATTTATTTTAGAGACAGGAAGGGAGGGAGAGAGAGAGAGAAACATCAATCGGTTGCCTCCCAAGCATGCTCTGACCTGGGATCAAACCCACAACCTAGGTATGTGTGCTGGCCAGGAATCGAACACGCCACCTTTTGGTGTTGTGAACGTCGCTCCAACCAACTGAGCCACACTGGCTCAGGCAATATGCAGTTTTCTTAAAGCCTCCTTCAGAAAGACTGTTTCTCTTCTCATAACACTTTGACACTAAGTGTAGGGTTTCCCCCCCATACCAACCAATCTTCCAACTCTCCAGCCACCAACTGGGTATCCTATAATTTAATTCAATTCTGACACCAACCACCTGGAGCGAGTGTCAGACTCCACAGGTGTAAGGGCTCAGTCCCACAAGGTTGTCCTCACTTTAGGACGACAGTTGCAAGCACTTGATCCCCAGGGTACCCATGCTCCTGTCCAACATGGCTCCAAAGTCAGGAGTTCTTGAAAACCCCCCTCAGTGTCAATGATTTGCTGGAATGGCTCACAAAGCTCAGGGAAATGTTTACTTACCTTTACCAGTTTATAATGAAGGGCACAGGTGAACAGCCAGATAAAGTCCATGGGGGGCGATCAGGAAGGGTCCTGAGCCTCTGTCCCCGTGGAGCTGGGGTGCACTACGCCCCAATTGTGGATGTGTTCCCCAACCCAGAAGATCTCTGAACCTCAGAGTGTATGGAGCCTTCCTCACATAGGCATGATTGATCATTAATTTAATCTCCAGCCCACTCTCTCCCTGTAGGATGGGGAGTGAGGCTGAGAGTCCCAGCTTCTAATCAAGGCTTGCTCTCTCTGCTGACCAGCCCCAGCCCGAAGCTGCCCAGGATCCCATAAGAGTCACCTCATTACAAGAGGAGGTGCTCCTATTACCCGGGAGCTGGGGGCAGAGATCAATACATTTGTCATGATGAGCTATGAGAATATAAAATGTGGTTTAGCCCTAGCCGGTGTAGTTCAGTGGATAGAGCGTTGGTCTGTGGACTGAAGGGTCCCGGATTTGATTCCTGCCAATGGCCTGTAGTACCTCAGTTGTAGGATCCTCCCCGGCCCGGGCCCTGGTTAGGGCGTGTGCAGGAGGCAACAGATCAATGCGTTTCTCTCACATCAATGTTCCTCTCTGTTTCTCCCTCTCTCTTCCA